TGACGTAATAGAAAGATTAGAATACTAGATTACGTAATACGAATATCAACAATAGATTTAGTGAATATAATAAGATGATTAAAATTATTAAGATGTTTTTTGGTATCAGAAGGATTTTGTGGATATTATAGTAATTTCAATGGTTGGGATCATGTGTCAATTGAAATTAGACCACCATGGAAAACCTGGAAACATTGGATGGCCGTTTCGTCCTATTATGGGACTCGTCAGATAGTTACTCACCGAAGACATTGGTGGATATGTCGCTCAGTTTCGTGGATTGGTTAAAGTTATATCTTAACACTTTTGGTTGCCGGCTAGCTCAGTGGTCTAGTGGTCAAGCGCTCTTGTGCGAGACTAAAGGCCCTGGGTTGGAATCCGGAGAGCGGGATTGTGGATGTGCACTTATGAGGAATCCCACAATAGAACGAAACGGCTGTCCAGTGCTTCCAGGTTTTCCATGGTGGTCTAGCTTCAGTTGACACATGGTCTCAGCCATTGAAATTTAAATGTTTTTTGTTACAATAATTAAAAGTCATAGGGGTGTCAAATAATCAATTACAAACTAAAAACGTTACTTAAAAAAATCAATAACCATCATTTACTATATCTTTCCAATCAATATAAATATTCAGATAAAATAAATAAGAAGAAACAATCTATATCTTATCGTCAATATATTACATTATCAGAAGGGGGCCCAATGAAGATTTTAGTAATTTTATAGTTAAATTTATGAGTTGATTAAAGTTAGACTACCATAGAAAACCTGAAAGAACAAAAACGATAGTTCATGTGTTCGAATTCTACAAATGGGATCATGAATGCACTATCCAGTGCTTCCAGGTTTTCCATAATGTTCTAGCTTTATTGGACTCATCAATTCAATAATAGAATATGATACAGTTTACTAACTTACTGTTCATTTATATTAATTCGTTTACGTTTTAAGAGTAAAATGAACAAAAAAAACAATTTTTTATACCGAATAAATATTTCTTATTAAGTATAAGAACAATATTCGTTAAAAAAGCAAAAAAAATTAGAAAAGAAAAGAAAAGAAAAAGAAAATCATTCCAATCATATTGTATGAATTAACTATTCAATAGGTTTGAATATTCTTCGAATTCTAACCAATCAAAATCATTTATTTTTGTTTTTTTTAATTTTTTTATTTTTGTTTATAATTGATATTTTAATTCACTTGATATTGCTTTGTTTGAATCTTTTCAAATAGGATGAAACTCATGTCTTAGATTCCATTGCTAGTCACTATCCATAATATTTGAATTGTTTTATTTTAATTAATTTATAATTATTATTAAGTTGACAAGTAAGACCACACCTTTTATTTTCAATGGTGGTCTAGCTTCAACTGACTCATGATTTCAATCTGTGAAATTATACTTTATATTGATTAAAATAAATAAATTTTTAAAAAAAACAACATACTCAGATAAAATAACTTCTCAGTGTTTCCAGGTATTCCATGATTATCTAGGTCATGAATTGATTTTTTTTGTAGTTTCATCCTAATTGTTATGGTGATTTCATTAAACATTCGACAGATAATCAAAAACAAAAACAAGACAGAACAAGTCAAAATGTCACCCAATTAATTCATTGTAAATAAACATAAATATTTGATCAGAAGGGGGTTTTGTAGAGATTTTAGTAATTTCCCAAATTATCCATAGTGGTCTAGCCTAAATTGACTTATGATTTCAATAAATATTTGAATTTGTTTATTTTTCAACTATGTAGAAGAAGAGAAAATTTTAAAATTTTTATTGAAATAACCCTGTTTTAAGTGATTGGTTAAAAAATAATACCCTGTAGTAGTTGTTAAGAGAAAAATTAAAAAAAAAACATACACATTGTGTTAGATATACAGTGAACATTTATTATTATTATTCAGTAGTTAAGTAAATTTACATGAAAAGTAAGTCATGTAGTGTATTCTAATTGATTATAAATGAATTTTTATATCGTTTCTTTTTTCTTTTTGTTTCATTTCAATAACTAACTTGATAGGATGATGATATCGCATTTCTTTTGTTAAGTATGTCTTAATGTAGATTTCAGTTTATTGTTGTTACTTGATAAATATATACTTTAATAGTTCAGATCATGTGTCAATTGAAGTTAGACCACCATGGAAAACCTGGGAGTAATAGACGGTCGTTTCGTCCTATTGTGGAACTTCTCAGCAGTGCATGTACACGATTCCGCTTAGTGAGATTCGGACCCGAGACATTACTTAATTACTTACTTGCTTACTTACTTACTTATTTACTTACTTACTTACTTACACTTGTTACCCTCCCCCATTTGGAGCATAGGCCACCGACCAGCTTTTTACAAACCACCCTGACCTGGGCCTTCCTTTCTAGTTCTATCCAATTCTTGTTCATTCTTCTCATGTCTATCTCCATTTCTCGGCGTAATGTGTACTATGGTCTTCCTCTTCTCCTTTGGCTTTGAGGATTCAAGGTGAGGGCTGCCTTGTGATGCAGTTGGGTGCTTTCCTCAATGTGCGTTCTGTCCACTTCCAGAGCTTCTTCCTGATTTCTTCCTCCGCTGGGATCTGGTTTGTATTCTCCCATAGTAGGTTGTTGCTGATAGTATCTGTCCAACGGATCCGAAGTACTTTGCGTAGACCACTGTTAGTAAACACTTGTATCTTTTGGATGATGGATTTCGTAGTTCTCCAAGTTTCCGCCCCATACAGTAGAACTTTTTTGGCATTTGTATTGAAAATTCTGACTTTGGTGTTGGTTGACAGTTGTTTTGAGTTCCAGATGTATTTCAGTTGTAAATATGCTGCTCTTGCTTTGCTGATCCGCGCCTTCACATCTGCATCAGATCCACCGTGTTCACCAATGATGCTGCCCGGTTATGTAAAAGTTTTAAAATCTTCCAAAACTTCTCTGTCAAGTGTGATTCGACTGCATGCTGTGTTGTATCGGTGAATCTTGCTTTTCCCTTTGTGTATATTGAGACATTCTGCTGCTGACCTATACCTATATATTGAATTGGTGTTAATAATCACTCGTTAACGAATAGGTTAATTTGAAGCCGCCTTGTGTAAAGTGCTATATAAACACGGTTATTTTTAAATACTTATCTAATTTTATAATTAGGCAGTAAAATCTAACTTAAGGCCCTGTCGTGGCGCTGCAAGATAGTAGGAACTAACGTGCCAGCCAACTTAAGCGGTCGACTGAGATAGGAATAATTACCCACTCCGTTTTATCCTTGATTAAATCAGTTTCGAAGTCGGGGCTCAATTAACTTCATCAGGCTATGTGATATGTATATTTATGTATAAGAACTGCAGAAGTTCTTTGGTCTGTGTAATTCATGTATGCAGATATATGCAAAGGGTATATGCTTGGTGTCGTACAAAGGAAACATTAGGTGAAATATTGTTCGCCCTATATCTAATAAAATCAGAGGCCTAATCTATCAGGCTAAGACAAAGTAAAAGGATATGGTAGCAAATACTAGGAAGAGACGACCAACTACCTCCCTTGAAAGAATGCTTATTCTTATGTGTGTATCAGGAAGTACTAGAGCAATAGCCACAAGATGAATGATATAATTCATAATTGAAATCTGAATACTGAATTTATCAACTATAATATATGAAAGTCTTTTCAGTGTGATTAATATGATCAGTAATATATACTAAACATTAAATTATCATCGGATGGGTTTTGTGGATATTATAGTAATTTCAATGGTTAAGATCATGAGTCAGTTGAAGCTAAACCACCGTGGAAAACCTGGAAGAACTGGATGGCCGTTTCGTAACTGGCTTCACAAGGTTTATCCTGGAAATCTAGTGAGAAGTAATGACCATTGGAGTTAAACCAGGTCTGTTGTGAGATAGTAACTCACTGAATACAATGGCGAATGTGTCGCTCACTTTCGTGGATTATTTGAAGTTAGACATTAACACTGTTGGATGCCGGCTCAGTGGTCTAGTGATTAAGTGCTCGCGTGCGAAACCAGTAGATCCTGGGTTCGAGGTCGTGGATGTGCACTGCTTGAGGAGTCCCACAATAGGACGAAGTGGCCGTCCAGTGCTTTCAAGTTATCCATGGTGGTCTAGCTTCAACTGACACATGATTTTACCCATTGATAAAATTATCATTTTATTGTATAGATCTATAATATTCATGAATATTTCTCTTATTTGTTTGAAAACAATTTTCATAGAGTTCATATCTAATTCATGTCAAATTCATTATACTATATTATATTGGATTATTGGATATATAATTTTGGTAATATTAGGATTTTTTATATTGAATCAACTTAATTTCATTGAACATCATTGTCAAACTTTATATAAAAGGATAGAAAAGAAAAGTAATCTATATAATGTTTCTGATTTACCATTTATATTTATTGGAGGTCATACAAATACAGGTAGATTAGTTTTATTCATTATGTTATTGATAAAAGTGTAAATACTGCTATACTATTTTATTTGTTAATATATCAATTCAATAATGACATGCATTGATTTAACTAGTTATGACCAATATGATAATATTTGAAATTCATTACTTACTCCTCTTACTCCTCATGAAGAAGCATAGACACTCACCAGCAATCACTGTCCAACTTTGTTCTGAGCAATCCTTCATTCATCTGGTTAGTGTTTTTGGCGAGTTAATTTTCTATGAGATGAGGTCGCTAAACTTATGTTCAACCGTCCTCCTTTATCTGAGCTTCGGACCGGCAGTAACCCCAGATGGGCTCCAGGCGAAGGATCGATAGTTATTCGCTAAAAAACGTTTAAATATCAGTACCATTAAGAAATTATAAGCCTTGGGGAATCAGACGTTAATCTGATCACTTTCCTATAATACATTTCAGGTACTGATCTAATGGGAAATATTCTAGATACTCATTCAATGGTTCGTTGCAGACCTAAACCAATTATAACAAAATTCTTATTGCGATACAGAAAGAACAGACTACATTCAATGAAGCGATTATTAGAATCTGGTATCACTGCAACCGTGTTAAACAATGCTGTGGCTGCATTTATTGCAACAATAATCAAAGAAATGGGTCCAAGGGCAACTAGACTATGCCACAATGATCTAGAAGCATTTGATTATCTTGAAGACTTAAATATCTTGTTTCCAAAAGGAAAGTTTATTCACATAGTCCAAGATGGAAGAGCCACTATTGCTTCAGAAATAGCGTAAGTTTTCAAGTAAATTTTATTTGCTTTATAGATATTTAAAATAAGAAATTGTAACACAGTAGTGATTATTCTCATATAGCTGATCAATTTGACAGAGTTATGAATTTACATTAGTGATGTTCCATTTTCTATAAGTTGAGTTACATATTCTACACAATGGGATTCAGCCCTGATTTTAATATTCCTTTGTGAATTATGTTTCAATTTCGTTCATTATGAATAACATGCCATGTTCAAGAATATAACACAGCACAGCTTATATAAATATGCTTATGATAAAAAGTCATTGTATCTTGAGATGGTGGAGAAGATTTGTAGCTCAGGTGGATGATTTTGTTGGTCTTGATCAAAACCATCCAGCTCAGAGAACGAAACTCCATCAAAGTCATTGTATCATTTAGGTATGATATATTACATAATTAACAATTTCATTAGCTGTTAATCTGAGGAGTTTAGTCATTGCAAATTCATAATCATATTTATTATAAATACATAATAATAGAAGTATTTTATCCACTAATAGTCCCCATTATTATCAATCTAATGATAATGATAATCTACTAATGAAATCAACATTCATCCCTTCATTGTTTATTTTTCAGTAGAAACATCAATTCTAATTATACATCTGAAAATATCACAGAAGCAATTTTAACTTGGGATGATGTAACAACACAAATATTAGAGGATTGTGAAAAGATTGGTAGTGAAAAATGTTTAAATATACGTTATGAATGTTTAGTATTGAATCCACTCAGAGAAATCCAGAAAGTTCTCCGTAAGTACATATTTATATTTCGTAGCTTTACTAAGTATACATAAAAACAATCACTAGCTATATATATATTCTGCTTAGAATCCCAAAAATTTACTTTGCGCATCTGATTACTTAATCCAAAGTACGTTATTAAGTGTATGTCATTAACATTTACAACTTTCAGTATTCACGAGTGTATTAAAGCCACACTAAAACTGAAAACCTGGAAGCACTGGACAGCCATTTCGTCATAATATGGGACTCCTAAGAACTGCGCATAAACGATCCCGCACTAAAAAGGCTCCAAAATGGGACATTCGATCTCACGCATAAACGCATAAAATCTAGAATACTGAACCGGCATCTAATGGTGTATAACTATAACTTCGTCAAATCAACGAAATTGTGCCACTATCCATGAGTTTAACTATCAAATTACTACAATCTCCAAAAAACACCCTATCCCATGATAATAATAATAATAATAATAATAATCGTGTGATCACTAGTGACTGTCTTCAAGATTTATTTCATGGAATTCTAGTGAGAAACCGTGACCAGTAGATTACAACCGTAGCTATTGTAGAGGCAGTTGCTCACTGAACACAATGGTGGACGTTCACAAAATATCACGGATTGGTTGAAATTAGACAATAACAAAATTAGACTCCTGCACATTGCTTTGGGATTTAAACGTTCGCGAGTGAAACCGAATGTCGTGTGTTGAAGTCCCATGTGAGGATAATTGATGCGTAATGCTGAGAAGGCCCAGAATAAAAAGAAACGGCCATCCAGTGCATTCCGGTTTATCATAAAAGTCTGGATTTAATCGACTCATGAATTCAACTATTAAATTACAACAATCTCCACAAAACATCCTTCGTCATAACATTCGACATCTCAATTGAGAATTATCGTTTCGTCAGCAGATAATGACGAAAGGCCTTTCAAAAAATAGATTCCATAGTTTATGGTCACCAGAAATATAACTTGTGTATCACAATTTAAGATGTAACAACTTATTGAAATCACATTTAATCTCCCTCTCTGTCAATGAATTCATTGTATTTATCTATAAAATCAGAGAAAGCAACAGTGATCACATTCAATTATTAAAGTAAATCCAACTGATAAACATGCTCAATATCAACCTAATTACAGAAGAATACAGCCAAACTACAAACTGGATATTTTGGAAGAGTATAATGATGGGATCATCAAATTTTCAACAAACAAACACGTTTAGTATTAATCATAACAATGGGGATTTGTACATCAGATTTAAGTACAGTGAATGATACGAGTATTTCAAGCGAAAGAATCCTAACGAGAACACAGCTCCAAATACAAATCACTTTCATATTGTACAGTTCCATTCGAAAATAAATAAATTTTATAATGGTTATTGTCTTCCTAAAAATGTTTTTCGCTTTTCCTCTTCAAAAATTATTTTCCGCTTTTATTTCTGTTTCATCGATACTCTACTTATTATAAATCAATAGTCTCAGTTGTATTTATCAATTTGTGTCATTTGGAAATCTTAATGGCTTACGTCTTCACTATAAACGAAAGTGCGTTAAGAGTTACTGCATTACTTTTCATATTTATCAACAGATTTCCGAATATTTGCTAGGTTAAATCTCCCTCATCTTCTTCAATTCAAACTTGGTTTGATTTGAACCACCTAACCATGTTCTTTTAACAGTAGGTTATTTTCCATTAAGTAATTCCGAAACACTTGACTCATCTTTTTATCACTTCTTTAATTCTAGTCAGTCCTGTGTTTGTAACCATAAATCCTTGATTAGAGTTGAAATCCGAATAGTTTACACTTGAATATCTTCGTATTCCGACTACAATATATTTTTGGTAATAAATCTCCCCACATTCTCATAAACATATAACGGCATGACGACATTTTCTAATGTTCCACTCACTCACTCACTCGCCGGTTTGAAATCTCTTCAGCCTTATATCGTTTACAATTGCTTATACATTAATTAACAACTACACTTTTCTCCTTTTCAGACTTTCTCGAATTGCCATGGGATGAAAAACTACTGAAGTATGCAAAATATTCTCTTGATAAGTTCATATTAAAATGATAAGTCAGCAGAATGCTTTTTGCATATGAGAAATTATACTGAAGCAAATAAGATAGAAACTTTCTAAGTAGGAAATGAAATTGTCACATGGATATCTCAAACATGGAATAATAGGGAGAAGATATTTTTCAACATCACATTCAGCTATATTCAATAAGAAATTTCGAGTTTGAATGATTCACGAAATGCTTAGAAAATGAGTCGGTAAAGGTACAAATCAATAAATCTAATGAACTGAAATAGGTAGTTGTGAAATTTGCAGATGACATGACAACCAGTTAGAAAGTTTGCTTAATGTTGATGAGAATTCCAATAGCACTAACAGTCACTGATTAATGTAAAAAGTAATGTCATCATCATTACGTAAGAGCAGAAAGTAAAAGAAATACCGAAAAATTTAGAAATCGATGGAGAGGAGGAGAAAACACGTCATTTGTATCACACATTCGTCATAGCTATGTTGATGACGAACAGAGGGTAAGCAAACATATGAATAACCAAAGCTTTCACAAGTCATGTTTCTTACCATTAGCTTTGGTTACATTAATGTGTATGTGGAAGAAATGCACGTAAAAAATTAGGTTATTTTAGTAAAATATAGAAAAGCATCATTTATATTTATGTCCAACCAGTTTTCAAATCCAACAGTCGTTTATCTATGTCATTTGATAAATCATTTTATGATGTCCATTTTCACTAAACACAGACAGTTAAGTGGTTTACAATTCAGTAGCTATTCACCAAAGTTTCATCACTACTTCAATCATGGATAAACGATATCACCTGTGCAGACTGGCACCATCCTACTAATATGAATGTGATTTTAACACACAATCATACTATCAAACTAACTTCTAGAAACTCAAGTCACATTATGCAAACTCTCCTCATTCCATCACGGACATTTACAATAAATAGATAGTTGTTAATAATATGTCCTTCATTTTGAAAACAACATCAAATCAGACTCAAATGAATCATTATAAAGTAATTAGGTACCACGTGTATGGGAGAAACTACTTATGAAACAGGAATATTCAAGGCAAAACAGTTTAGACATGATTTACTTTGAACATATTTAATTTGTTCTTGCACTACAATTTAATTTATTTCACGTTATTCCACCTATCAAATCCGCAGATATGGAACTGACTCCAATCGAACAGATCAATTAATTCACAACAATTCCCTAGGTGCGTGGTCAAAAGCGAATTCACTCCTATCAGAAGAACATATCGAATTCATGAATGAAAATTGTTTGGCACTAAAACAGTTGGGTTATCTTACAGATGAAATCCCACCGAATTATGTTACAATCTGCAACATCTAAACTATTCTGAAAAAAACACATAGTCAGTAACAAGTTGAAATATGATACCTTGAATTTGTATCTATGAGAAAACATCTCTATTCATTAGTGTGCATTGTGTGTATTGTGTTTATTGTGTTTACGTAGAAACTGTATTTTTGTACACATTGAAGCAATAAATATGTGATCTCATGGGAAGAAGTAGTCGTTTGACATGTTACAAAACAGGGTTATTTTCTAAGTTAAACAATAAATAAATTGTATTGATTTACCAGTATTGTCACTAAGCGAAATCATTCTCGTTTCGGTGAAACAAATTACAAATTGACTCACATTAAAAGCTTTCGTCAACAATCTTTCTTCAAACATGAATGGAGTAACGAATTAATCGAATGAGAATTTACAGTTATTATTGAAATAAAAATACAACGCTGGACCATTAATGGCAGAAAACAACAAGTATTCACTTCCCTTTCTAATGATCACAAGAAACAGGAAAGATTCACTAAAATCATTCTGAAAATCAACCCTTCAATCAAGAGGAAAAGCAGAGAATTAATCTGTTTATAATTTCAAATTAGAATGAGATGTACCAATTACTATGAGTATACAACATGAACTTGGTTAAAAATTAATGTGAATAGGAGATGATAGGTGATCACTTCACAGTGAAGACATTTCTCGATAGCTAAGATTATAAATAATCTCTAATGATCAGTAAGCAACTAGACACTTCAGTGATGAAGAATAACGTGAGTTTACAATCAAACAATCAAGCTACACATAGAACGAAGAATTGTGAAAAAAAATAATTCAAAAAACAACTGATGCTATCGAACAAACGTAATAAGGGAAAACTAATTTGACACTGTGATACTGAACACTCGAGTATTTAGTGATAATTCGCTTTCGTTACACAAGAGATTACTGGGAATTGATAGGGTAATGACAAATAAGATTGACATAATTAATGCATGACATGCAAAATGACCATATTCAATATTTGAAAACGTCAACTTACTGACCTGTTACAGAAACGTGTTTCGAATAGTTCACTAATGTAAGGACATTATACTGTACATATTACAGTATAGAGGACATCAAATGTAATCAAAGGTAGGTTTAAATATTTCGTATACGAATTGAAGTACAATGGTAAAGATAAATCAATTCACTTAAAATATATCAAAGTTAAATGGTCTTCCAATTCATAATATAATCACAATACCTGATGAGGAACAAACCGCTGAAATACGAACTAAATTGTCTGCAATGCAACATTAACCTTCATGAAATATTTCCATTTTCCAACGTCAAAAATAATACGAACTAATGTAAATTAAGAAAACTACGTGAAACATCTAGGTGAAAATACGCAACATACACTTTATAATATTCTGTTGTGATTTTATCCAAACATTACGAGATGGATATCAACAATTCAAAAGTAAATAAAATCACACAACGTCCAGCAAGACTCACACATAATATCAATCCATGAAATGAATTAAAACGGTCTAACCGATTACAACTATGTTCCTGAAAATCATATCCATATATGATTTCAATGCCAGAATATTCAATGGAACAATCGCTTTATCCACTAAATCCAGATCAGGAAGATAAAACAATGCAAGTAACAGTATATGTATATTTATTGACTAGGGTACAGACATTTAGCTGTAGTCATTAATAACTAAATCAGTGTAGAAATATTACAGAACCTAACAGCAGTCACAATTCGTCACATAACACTCATCTCAGCATCATTTTTTCGTAATGTTGACATCGTCTACAACAGGCTCGTCCACCACAGGCTCGTCCACCACTTCCACATCCTCTGTTTTCTTTTCACTCTTCGCTTCTACCGGATGACCCTTACGATCGTTCTCATCATCCTCATCCTTTTCATCCTTATCATCATCATGATTATCTTTATCTGCATTCTTCACTGATTTATCAACCTTCGCATGCTTCTCCTTTTTAGCAGTGGCGGTAGTAGTGCCATTTGCAGTAGCACGAACATCATCATATAACACAGTCATGCAGAGTAGAAACAGTGTCAACTTGAGGAACATGATAGAATAGTTGAACAGATTGAACGTTAACTACAAACGAAATGATTTCGCCACTACACATAAGCATATATATGTACGTGTATATCATATGGACACACCAAATCGATGGTAAATCGAACCAACTAATGTTAGTGTATGAAAGGTGGAATTGAGCATTTTTGATCAAAATATCTGAAAACATTTATTGGAAAACATGATTGTCATTCTCATGAATCGACTTGACAATCAAAAATGTTTTGTCACCCTACAATGATTTTCTATTGTTTTTCCACTAGTAAGTTCAGTCTTTTGTTCTGAATAGAAATCGTCATGGTAAGGCGTGCTGAAAAGACTTTTCGTGTCAGTATTTTATGCTGAATATTTGATGTTTAATTTATGTCTACAGTTTTTTCAGATTAGACGATTGCGCGTGTGATCAGTTTTTTGGGGTTTGTTCAACGTTATTGTAGAATGTAATTTAACATATTACACATTGTTTAGTGGAGTATTTTGAAAATGTTTTTAACAGAACACCCGTTCACAGACACTAATGTTTTAGTGTTGAAACGAAAAATGTCGTCTTCGAACATGTTGCTAAATATACTGGATCACGAGAGGTCGATAAACCACATTACCGATCAAAAATTTTCAAGAAATTTCTTTTCTTTGAATTACTTAATTAAAGTAATATTAAAAAATCCTAGTCTCCATTGGTAAGCCGACCAACAGAACCACTTAGAATTCCATACAACCAGATCCCGTGATAAATTGGAATGGAGAAAAATGACAGGTTTTTAGAGTAAAATGAATGCGCTTCGTTTCATGGGTTCACATCAGTTGAATAGAATCTTAAGTTGTAAATAACGATACCTGATTAAAAAATGTTTGTGTTCTCTTAGTTTGTGGAATTTAGATCATTTTTCATAACGTAATCAAAATCGTAATAAGTCTAGGCACAGTTCACCAAATGTATTGGTAAATATATTTCAGATAGTTTGTTATTCGTACCAGTAGAGTAGAATTATTATTATTATTATTATTATTATTATTATTATTATTATTATTATTATTATTATTATTAATGGCTTTATTCAATATTATATTTCGGTACAATATGGAATTCTCAGAACAAGGTATCTCAACAAGTTAATTATACAAAAAAAACAGAAACAAAGATACAAAAGGGAAAAAAAGGTTTAATAAATTTGAGAAACTGTACAACTTTCCAAGTTAGAGATTATTTGTTTATCATACTTAAGATCTTTTTCTCTGTATTTTGCAATACATTTCTTGAAGTACCCAATTTTTATGAGGTGTTTCCCTATATATATAATCATGTTTCATCGTTTTTCCACTATACATTAAAGTTTATAAAAAATCGAATTAATTAATTCTTTCATACTTCAATGTGATCATCTTGACTAGATGAGAGTGGTTGAAGTAGCAAAACAATCGAGAGGCATGTAAAATATCGTTAAACAAAATGAATATGGCAAATATAAATCCAAAATCAACATCAATGACAGATATGAATGCGAATGTACCTCAATTAGCAAATATGTAGGAAGAACTGAATGAATAGATTCTATTAGTTTTCCTGGACATATTTCTCGGGACTTACGATTACAAGAAAGAAAAGTCTTCACAAGTTCAAGTGCAAGGCATTATATGTTTTCCACCAGACCGATGTAAGCAGTAGAAAAGTGTGACTGGCCCTTCTCTAACATGATGATAAATGTTTAATAAATAATCCTTAATAATTTTTCAACGCTCTTCCTTCTCTATTTCGCTTTCTCATGACTTTCTGTTACATAACCATATTGCTGTTTACACATTAATTTTATTTCTAAACATCTCGAAGGATTACATTATCGCTCATTGATTTCATTTCTATGTTTAATTTGTTTATAAATCTTGATAAATAAAGACTTTGCTGTATTGCGGAGAGTGCTGAAGGCAGTTAGCAGGGTGTATGGTGAATCTTTCGAGGTCATAATTAATATGGTTTTGGATAGACATCTAAAGTCATACAGACTCCTGGCAGTTGATATTTTATCAGATACTAACCATCCCCTTCATTCATATCTTTCGCCTTGTATATCTTCTGGTAGAACGAGACGTAATCACATTAAAATCCAAGCACGCAAGCAAAAGTATGAAAGTTCCATGATACCTTACCTAGCAAATATACTCTACGATGAACAGGTTACTAGAGTTAACCTAGTCAATAACCTGCATTCTTAACATATCTCTAATTTGGAAAGTTGTACAGTTTCTCAAATTTATTAAACCTTTTTTTCCCTTTTGTATCTTTGTTTCTGTTTTTTTTGTATAATTAACTTGTTGAGATACCTTGTTCTGAGAATTCCATATTGTACCGAAATATAATATTGAATAAAGCCATTAATAATAATAATAATAATAATAATAATAATAATAATAATAATAATAATAATAATAATAATAATAATAATTCTACTCTACTGGTACGAATAACAAACTATCTGAAATATATTTACCAATACATTTGGTGAACTGTGCCTAGACTTATTACGATTTTGATTACGTTATGAAAAATGATCTAAATTCCACAAACTAAGAGAACACAAACATTTTTTAATCAGGTATCGTTATTTACAACTTAAGATTCTATTCAACTGATGTGAACCCATGAAACGAAGCGCATTCATTTTACTCTAAAAACCTGTCATTTTTCTCCATTCCAATTTATCACGGGATCTGGTTGTATGGAATTCTAAGTGGTTCTGTTGGTCGGCTTACCAATGGAGACTAGGATTTTTTAATATTACTTTAATTAAGTAATTCAAAGAAAAGAAATTTCTTGAAAATTTTTGATCGGTAATGTGGTTTATCGACCTCTCGTGATCCAGTATATTTAGCAACATGTTCGAAGACGACATTTTTCGTTTCAACACTAAAACATTAGTGTCTGTGAACGGGTGT